AAAAAAAAAAAAAAAAAAAAAAAAAAAAAAAAAAAAAAAAAAAAAAAAAAAAAAAAAAAAAAAAAAAAAAAAAACAATTAATTCGATTAGTTCAATTGATTCTTGATGATATATTTTATTATAAAGGAATTATTTTTTACCATCGAATGAATATACGACTTTTAAGTAATCAGATTGAACAGGAACATCAGGTAATCCGAATGCATATTTTCTAGATGTATTTTTTACTTCAAATCTCTTAATTTTATATTTTTCTCTGATTTTTATAACTTCTTTAAAGGCATCATCGAATTTGACTTCGACATTTGATTCATTACCATGATCTAAATAAAGATAAGATAAAATAAAATAAAATAATGTAAATAAATGTATACAATTTTTAATAATAAAGAAAACTTTTATTTATATAACGAAATTATTGACTATAAAAAACTTTATTAATACACGAAATTATTGACTATAATTCAACCAACCATCAAGTTCAAATTTTCTTGATAAAAAGAAAAGATTTCGTTGAATGTTCTGAACAGTGACACAACAGCTTACATAAGAATTAGCGATTTTATCGAAAGTCTGTTAAATCGAATAAAGTTAATTTTTATTAATTAAAATTATTAAAAAAATATATATATATATAATGATTTTATAAATTGAATCTTACCTTTCCGAATAGATAAACAATTCCTTGTTTTTCATACGCGTCAATCCAATACATTCTTATTGTATCTTGATTTATGTCTTTATTGCCCTTATCAATTTCATGATTTCGTTTTGCATCATTTCCATTAATTGTTGTTACGACATTACCTTCATTAATTGTTATTACAGAATCATTAATATGAGTGTAATCCGTATATTTAACATCATTATTGTCGGTATCGTTAATTGTTTGAATTGATTGAGTTGTATTATTCTTATTAATGGATTTACTTGTCGAAATTTCATTGTTCTCGTGTTGAATGATATTATTATTATTATTATTATTGTTGTTGTCAATGTTGTTGTCAATGTTGTTGTTATTGTTATTATTATTATTATTATTATTGTTGTTGTTGTTGTTGTTGTTATTGTTTGGCAGATTAAATTCTGGATCATACATATCATTATCCAAATCTTGGGAAGGAATGTAATCCATAAATTCATTATCACTAATTGTTTGACTTGATTGAGTTGAATTATAATTATTATTATTGGATGGTTCATTTTTCGAGAATTTATTGTTCTCTTGGTGGATGTTATTATTATTATCATCATTATTACTGTTGATGTTTGGTATTCGAGAGCCACTAAATTCTAGATCACTCATATCATCATCCCAACCTTGAAAATCCATATATTCGAAATTATTATTGTCAGTATTGTTAATTGATTGAGTTGAATTATAATTATTATTATTATCATTATTCTCTGGTATTTGATTCATATATTCAAATTTGTCATTATTGTCAACATCACTAATTATATTATTATTATTATTATTATTATTATAATTATTAGAGGGTTTACTTTTCGAAATTCTATTTTTCTCTCGATTATTATTATTGTTATTATTATTATCATTTGGTATCTGAAAAAGATCAAGTTCTGAATCACCCACATCATTATCTAAATCTTGAAGAAGACAAGACATAAATTCTGTCTCTTCTGCTGTTGTTTTGACCTGTAAACAATTTTAAAAAAGTTAATTAACAGTTATTTTATCATATAACATATAAGAAATGTTACATACTGTCTTTGGTTTTAAAAGCGCTCGTTGAAAGAAAGCATTTATTTTTTGGTCAGATCTAATTTGACACGATTGACCTGAATTCTGTTCCGTTTTCCTTTTTCTCTTTCGTTTTCCTTTTCCTATATGATTTTATTGAATTTGATTTGATTTAATTTTGATTTAGATAATTATAGAATAAATTAAAAAAAAATTAATAATAATTAATTTATAATTGTTAAAATGTTTGAAAAGTAATAGATTTTTATTATTATTCGTAATTATTTATACCATCTTCTTGAAGAGTTTCATCGTAATCAGAACCAGATTCCGAGTCACTAGAATATTCCTTTCCTAAATCATCATTTATATATTGTTGACCTGTTCCATCATCATCTTCGATGAAGTTATTTTTCTTAATTTCTTCATTAAGAAAATTTTGATACGTCTCTTCATTAACTTCTTCATAAATATCTTCGTCTTGTTTTATCTAATTTAAGTATTAAGTTTGAAAGTTAAATAAATGACAAGATAAAAAAGGGAAAAGAAGGAATAAAAGAAAATGGCGGGTCAAAAGGAAAGAAACGAAAGAAAGAAAGAAAGAAAGAAAAAAAAAGAAAGAAAGGAAATAATAATAAAAAGAATAATAAAGTTACTTCATATTCCTGTAAACGAGAACCACCCGTTTGTCGTAGTCTTCGAAGAGTTTCAAAAGTACTAGTATCTCTGACTCTAGCACGTCGTTTTGTTAAAGGTTTCGGCATTTTAACGCGCTTAAAGCTTAATTTAAAGTTTTGCAATCCAGACGGAAGAATAATCAAAAGTCGCGTAATGATGAAATTCTGTTATCACTTAATTTATCACTTAATTTATCACTAATTTATCACTAATTTATCACTAATTTATCACTAATTTATCACTAATTCATGTCACTAAAAAAAGAATTCTTGGTAATTTCCACGTGGGTCAGCCCTACACAAAGGGAATCGGTTGAATCGGATGAATCGACTGATTTTCAATTATATATTTATATTTTTTTTTTTTTTTTACTTTAGGAGATTGACATTTAAAACAATTAAAAAGCGAAGAATAATAAGTTATTTTCCAAAAAAGACATGACAAATTAAAACAAAAAACAAACGATGAATAATGACTCCAAAAAAATAAATTATACTATGTTTATATATATATATATACTGCATATTAAAGTCTGTAATATAATATAATAAACTGTATATGTATAACAGATAATATATATATATGTTTATGAAAACAATCATTACTTAAATTCGAATTGTATGTTATCATTTTTTTTTTTACCCATTGTTAACGAAAAAAATGTATCTATTCATGGCGAACATTATTGTGTTTTTTTTTCCAATTTTTGATGTCATGTGTTAAACAATATGACAATAATAATAAATGTTTCGCCACCCAATAATAATAGTAATAAATGTTTCGCCACCAATAATAATTATTTCGCCACCAATACGTACTTACCCTTAATCCGTCAATTTAATTACCAACAATCACTTTTGTATATACATCAAACATAATGAACCAACCAATATTATTATTAATTACTTGCCCAGATTTTTCTCCTTTGTCAAGGAAACATTAATTACTTACCCTCTGTCAAGGAAACACGAATTACAAAAAAGAGATTCAAAAGATTAAATTATTAAGTTGTAGAGAAACATTATTATTATTTAATACCAAGACATTATTATCAATAAGACAATATTATCAACAAGACATCGTTGTTATTATCAAGACGTAATTATTATCATTAAATTGCATTCAATAAAAAAAGAGAAACTTGACAATTTTTTAATTTTGATAATTTTAGAAAGACTTTTGTCTTCCCGTGATTACGCTTTTCGCTTTTAATAAATTTTTTTTTTTTTTTGTAACAAAAAAAAAACAAATAAAGAAATATAAGAATTTTTTTTTTTTTTTTTTTTAAAAAAAAACGAACTTTAAAAAAAATCAATTGAACACACAAAAGCAATTGAAATAAAAAATCAAATCAAATAAAATAAAATTGAAATTTTTTTTAACATGCGAAAATTTTTTAAAAGGAAAAAAAAAATAAACAAAGAAAAGAGAATTGACCAAGTGTTCATTCAAATTTTCCACCTCTTTACAAAAAATTATGTATTTATTGATGATGATTGATAATGAATTTTTTGATGAAAATGATTTAGTTGTTGTTGTTTGTTGTTGTTGTTGTTGTTTGTTCGATGCATCCAAAATAAAATAAAATAATAAAAAAAAAAAAACTAATTACAATAAAAAGCAATGGCACGATTATTAAGAGTCTATCATAATTCCCCCATCAGTTAAATCATTAATTAAAAAAAAACCACTTTCTATTATCTTTTCCACTACCATCACGATTCAAATTCTAATCTATAATAATAAAAAAAATAATCGGCCAATGCTAATTAAAAAAAAATTTCTTAAACATGCTAATAAAAAAAAAAATTTTAAAATAATAAAAAATCCAGTCAACCCTTCAAAAAAAATAATAAAATTTTCCTCTCTTTCTCTCAATATCATATAAATGCCCGGCCTTTCAAATTTCCTCAATAATAAAAAAGATTGATAATATAATTAAATTGGTAGTAAAATTGATAGTAATAAAATTGATATAATAAAAGTCCAGCCTTTCAAATTCATCAATGATAAAAATATTGAAATTCATTATTCGTTCGATTATATTCAAAAATCTTCTCGCCCAAATAAAAAGATTAGATTCTTAATCAAAAAAAAAAAAAAAGTTTTTTTTTTTTTGATTATATTCAATATATCCTTCTCGACCCAAATCATAAAAATAAAAAATTATCGACCCACTCAAATAAAAAAAAAATAAAAATAAAAAAGATTTTAACCCTTCGTATTCAAAAAAAAAATAATAATAATATAATAATAATGATGAGGATTATAAAATAGTAATAATTAAAAAATGGAAGGGGAATTCTTTAAACTAATCGCCTGAAACAGGCCAATCTTTTTCGGGCCTGTGCAACCAAGGGAGCTACTGTGTTAGAACTCAAACCTCCATTAGTGTTAGTGTTAATGGTCCCCGCAGACTTGTCGGATCGAACAGTCGCGACAACCTTGCTTTCAGCGGATTCAGGAACATTTTGAGAAGATTTCCCTTTTCCGAGTGGTTGTTGTTGTTGGCGAGAAAAATAAGCATCTGTAAACGCTCTCAATTCTGAAGATCCTAACCGAGCACTCTTGTTTGAGACCTTGGAGGCCTCCGTGTTCTTTCTTAATAATATTCCATTAGTGTCATTGTGAATAAAGCAACATCGTTTTCCATAAGGGCAAGTACCATTCTGCCAAAAGGTTTTACAGATTTCAGTTTTGTATTTGGGATGATGAGCTACTTCACGAAGTTCCACTGGTGAATGGGCATATTGACATTTGGATCCGTAACTAATAAGAAGTAAATTTGGTAAGTAACCTAATCATTATTAAATAAATATAAAAAAATTATTGTATAAATAAATAACTAAATACTAACCGACAAGATCCACGTTCTTCCCAATTTCGACACATTTCGGTCTTATAAAGCGCTGCTTTCTTTTGTTCTTTTTCGTTATCTACTTCGTTACCATCACGACGGGTATTTTGTGAGGAAGAGGAAGAAGATGACGAAGACTGCGTAAGAGCGACTTGAGTTCCTTGAGTCAATTCGTTGGGTTGAACTGATTTAGCATTAACATTCTTCTTTGATAATAATGATGATGATGATGATGATGATGATGATATAGTCGCGTCAGAATCGGTAACTACTTGAACATTTGTTGTACCATCAGGAGAATTGATATTCATTGCATCATCATCATCATCAGATGAACCACCGTGAACATTATTATTATAAGAATTAGAATTAAGATCATCAGTCGATAAACCACCATAAGAATTGATAGATTGAGTAACAGTAGATTGAAGATCATTATTATCATCATCGTCATGATTATCAACTTGTAATATATTAGGTACGTTGGATACATTAGATGTGAATAATGGAGTAAATGGATTTGAAAAGCTTAATGCTATGTTATCATCTTCAGAACGATTCTTTGGAGGAGGTTGAATCGGTTTAGGTATTGAACGATTATTTGACGTGGCATCACGTTGTGGTAATTTAGGATCAAAATCGTTTGAACAAGAACTTGGGACGATTACAGAATTAGGAGATGAGAAAGGTGTCGGTACAGCTTTATTGATGATATATGGTAATGAATCTAAATTCCACGTCGTGTTAGTGGGAGTAGGACAACGAGAAGTTTCGGCGGAACTTGAGGAAGTCTCGGAAGTTGGAGTGGCCAAATCTTCAAGTGAAGGACATTGCTGAGGGATATTTATTGGTTGAGGTTGTGCCATCGCCATACTATATAAAGTATGTTTCTTTTCATCATTATTTAATTTCTTTGGACAGTCAAAATTTGCGTCGCCATTAACCAAGTGATCATAATATAAAGAATTATTTATGGACGACGAAGAAGACCCATAACTGCTGTTACTAGTGGTACTAGAACTATTAACAAGTTTCATATAATCTGAAAAACCAAAACGTTTTGTAGAGGAAGACTTCGGAGACATCGTCGCATATAAAGGCGAAAACAACGCCGAACATTTTTTTTGGAGCTTGTTGGTATCGTTGGTTGAAGACATCAATGATATAATCACAAAAAAAAAATGAGAACCTACAATAGTAAAAAAAAAGGGAAGAAAGATTAGTGACTAGTCAAAATATTATTATCAAATATTATTAAATATCAATATCAATATCAATATCAATATTATATAAAGTTATAGTAGTTATCGTTATAATAGTATTAAGCGACACCCAAATTGACGATATGAGAAAGAAGAAAAGAAAAAGATATTTTGTAAAGGGAAAAAGGTAATGAAATTATACCTAATGAATTATATTTATTAAACTAATGAACTAATAAACTATCCAGTTAAGGGAAAACTACTTTGATAGAAGTGACGAATAATTACGTACTAAGTCTAGGTTATTAATTATTATTATTATTATTATAGTAATTATAATATATATATATGTATATGTATATACGTAGTTGTTATTCAATTGGTTTTTATTATTATTATTATTAAATGAACGAACGAACGAACGAACGAACGAACGAACGAGATATGAAAACCGAAAAACCGACTCCAATAAACTCATATAATTCATATAACCATGATATAATTATAATATAAAGAAATATTTTTAACTTTTTTCAAACTTTTGGAGAACGCAATTAACTCAGAATTACTTTTGGTCAAACTTTTGAATGACGGTAATACTTACTTTTTTAAATTTATAACGTCGTTATGTTAAAGTAGAAACCAGGAATTATTCTTTTTAGATATTGAAAGTAAAAAAAATAAGAAAGATATTATTAGATATTGTTATTTTTAGATAGATATTAAAAGTATTTATTATTATTGAGTGAGGAGAGAGAGAAAGTAATTATAATGGTGGAAAAAAGTAGAGATCAAAAAAAAAAAAAAAAAAAAAAAAAATAATTACCACTCGCTTAATTAATTATTAAATGAAGAATAATAATTATTAATTTTTTCAAATTAATTTCTTGATTTGTTTAAATAATCGTTTAAGAGGAACAGTTTTGTAATAACAAGATTGAAGATAGTATAAAGTAAATTGAAGAAAGGAAAAACCGACGTGAGGGGGAAAAAAACCCAGGCAGAAATTCGCCAGTTTTTATAATCGTGAGTCAAATAATGAATAAGTATAAAATAAAAAAAAAAAAATTCAGAACAACCAGAATAAGAAACAAAGGGAAGTGTTCATCCAAATTTAATTATCATAATCTTATAATTATAATAATTTATTACTGTATATTATAATAAAAATTGATTGACATAAACTAAAATCTTCATAAAAAAATTTTTTTTTATTAATAATTTTTTTTTTTTGTACTCTAAATTTTTTTTAATATGATAATTCAATCGACAATTTGTATAAACTTTTTTTTTTAAAAAAAAAAACAGTTCACAACAACACAAGACTCTCATTTTTTAATAATATCATAGTTACGTTCAAACAATTATAATGATAGTTTAAATTTTATTTTTTATTTGGAATAATATAAATAATATTTAAATAATTGTAAATAAAAGTAAAATAAAATATATATATTTATATATATATAGAATAATTAGATAAATATATATATATAGAATAATTATATACATATATATAGAATAATTATATATATTTATATGTCTATGTTATTCCTCACCTAGGGCGAGATAAAATGTTGTTCACCCCTATAACTTCTTCGAGTAATATTACTTTCATGTGATTACAAATGATTACCAGGTGATTATTAGGTAAAAAATAATATGTGACAGATAGAAAATATATAATAAAAATTGATATCCAGATGGTGTGATGCTATGTGACAATTATAGGGGATCTGGGTGAGGAATAACTATGATTATATATATGTATGAAATGTATGATATATATGATGATTATATATAGATATAAAATAACAAGTTTATATAAATTATTTATATATTTCTTTGGGAAAAAAATATAAAGAAATATGTACGATGTATATAACTAAGTTTTACCAATGTTTTTTCAAGAACCTTTTAATTCGTTCCAACTATTCACAATACAATAATTATATTTTTTTTATCCCCTTTTTTTGTTTTTTGTTGTTGTTGTTGTTGTTGTTATTGTTATTATTATCTCCTAGAAAAAAAAAGGTAGGTCTCCTTCATTCATCATCAATCACACCTCCTCGTTCATTCTATTATGCGTATCTGCGCCTCCTCCCTCCTTCCTTCCCTCCTTCCTTCCTCTCTCCTTCTCTTCCTCTACTAATAAATTAATATATTTATCACTAATAACGACTAATTTATAACATTTGAATGTACATGTATAATATGATTGTTTATTCATATCTTTCACTTACATAATTTTACATATGGTAAGTTTGGGTCATTCTTCTTTCGTAATCATTTTGTCACTATTTCCATTTTCATTTCATTTCTCGTTATTTTCACAATTTTCATTATATTTCACCATTTTCACAATTTCGCCTATTTCATTAACATTTTTGAATATTTCATAATGATAATAATGATAATAATGATAATAATAATAATAAATAAATAATAATATATAACAGGTAATAAATAATAATAATCGTAATCATAATCTCTTTCTCGTAAGGTAAAATTAACGCCCGCCGCCATGAAAAAAAAAAAAAAATGTTTTCAAATTTCAAATTTTGGTGAATGGATAACTTCCTTTTTAATAAACATCTATATTGATTTGGTAGATAAAGAAAAATTCAACACGTTCTACTCTCCCCGTAACAGTTTAGTATAACGACATTATTATTATCATTTTTATTATTATTATTACAAAATTACAGGTGATAATAATAATAATGATAATAATGATGATAAAGTAAATCTAATTCATGAGTAAATCTACACACGCCTTTAACCGTTTAACTGCTACATCTTGTTTCAAATCCTGTTTCGTTTTTTTTTTTTTTTTTTTTTTTTTTTCAATGTTTGACGAACGATTAACAAACTTGACAAAAAATTCAAATAATAAATAAATCTTATTCCACTCAATAAAATTACTCAATAAATATTAAATTATTAAATTATTCGCACACTAAAAATAATAATAATGAATGATAATATAAAAAATTTCTTTTTTTTGATAAATTAGATAAAAAAAAAAAAAAAAACTTTTTTCATATGGATATGTAGTATTCATAGAAAACCTATTATTAAAAAAAACAAAAAACATATGCATTCATTTGGACTATCATTTGTTCTTCATGATTTATTATTATTATTATTTTTTATATACATTTTTTTTTAATGAAATATTTATTTGATAAAAATATCGAAAAAATAAATTCAAAATAATAAAAATAAATAATAAATAAATAATAAAGGTTGTGATGGTTGTTTGAAAGGTGTGATGATTGTAATGGATGTGATGAGCTGGCGTGCGAAAAATGAGATAAGATTTAATAGTGTAATGTAGTATTGACAATTATTTTATAGTTAAATTTGTAGTTTGTTATGTACGGTGTATCATTAATGTACTTATCTGCAATTTTTAACCATCTTACATATTTTAATTCAGGGATTTCTTTTTTATTGTATTATTATTATTATTATTATTATTATTATTATTATTATTATTATTATTATTTTTGTTAATATTATTTTTTTATTTTTATTTTTATTATTATTTTTGGTAGAAATTTTTTTTTTTTGATGTGAAATGCATAATTGGATTTTAGATAAAATCGCATATCGCATTCGCATTACAAACATTACAAATTACATTTTACTACATTTTACTACATTTTGCACCAAACATATTGAGATTAAATATAGATTATATTATAGATTAAATCCGATTTATATTACAGTTTTATATTATAGTTTATTATAGTTTATTGTAGTTTATTGTTGTGGGATATAATACAGTATATGTTAGTATGTTTATGTTTATTAGCAAATATCACATATTCCATATTTTGCAAGAATTCATTAATAAAAATTTCTTAAAAATTCACACCAACTAAAATTCACTTATTATGATTATTTATTATTATCATTTATTATTATCATTTATTATTATTATTTATTATTATTTATTATTATTTATTATTATTTATTATTATTATTATTATTATTATTATATTAATATTTATCAGTTATTATTATGTGCATTGACTATAAAGCAGTAAAGTCATAATTTAATCAAAAAAAAAATCCCCCCGATATCATCACCATTCATATCATTATTCATTCAATATCATCATTCAAAAAAACGAAAAACGAACGGACCCAAAGGATTTATTATTATTATGATTATTTTTATACAGATTAGGAAAAAAAATAAAAATATTATTATTCATTGTAAACTGATTGATGATAGGTTGATGAATACAACAAACAATAATAAAAAACAACAACATTTGATACAACAAACAAGTACAAGATGTAATTTTCCCTTTCCTTTTTTTTTTTTTTTTAAAATTAATTTTTAATTAAATAAAATAATAATAATGTTATCAGAATATAAATAATAATTAAATTGTCATAATAATAAATAATAACAAAATAACAAAATAATAACAATCATATAACATCACATCATATAATAATTAAAAATGATAACATCATATAATAATTAAATAATAACATCATATAATTCAGCTGAAAATGATGTTAAATGGTTACTATTAATGGGTGGGCAAATAAATAATAATATTTAATTAATTAATATTAATTAATAATTCCTGAGAAATAGTTAAAGAGATATTACCTAAGCGACGATTTTGATGTTAGTTGATATTAGGTGATATTGTTGATATTGGTTGATATTGGTTAAGTTGATATTACGCAAAATATTTAACTACGAGATATTTTAAAATTATCAAGAAGAGAAGTTTCGATATTTCGAATGTTTCAAATGTTTCCCAAAAATTGTGATGAATATTATTATTTAATATTAGATTGTATAAATGATCATAAATTATTGATATCCCACGCACAAGCTTATTATTTATGGT